AGAGGAATATTTTAAGGTGTTAGTGTAATTTTTTAAGGGTTAGTAACTGTACCGCTAAGAGGAGGGGGTGCCCCTGAATAACAAACTCAAATAATAGAGATATAGTGTTTCCAAACTGTTGAAAGAAATCGAGCATCAAGAGAAAATGAATCCCAAAAGTTTGAGGACTATGAGGCAATAAAAGAACATGGAAATGAGTAAGAGCTCGGTATTTGTCTGCTGATAATGAACAGATAATTATGGGATGGATGTGTTAAAGATCCAAACTTTAGAGAAATAAGTCCATTAATGTTAAAGTGGTTGTTGTTTCCCAAATTCATGTAGCTATACGTTTAAATAGAGCATTATGTCTAAACATGTAATGGGTTAAATGGGTTGAGCTCAACAAGTCAGGGAACAGGGTCAAATACCACCCTAACACCCTAACTGTTCCATTATCTTTAAAGTGACACTGTAGGCACCCAGAGCACTTCAGCTCATTGTGGTAATTAAGTGCAGTTTCTGAGAATTACCTGCTAGGTTTAACTCCTCCTTTAGTGCTACCAGACAGCCACTAGAGGGACTTCTGGGTGCTTAGACGACGTTAGGTTGCCTAAATGACATTGGACATCCTCCCACTGTGCTTGAGGACTTCCAGCGACCCTTCAGCTTGTTGGAGATTTTAGAATTTCGACTTTCCTTTCTTTTATGAAATATTGATTGTTAATACAAATGTTTTGTTTTTCACCAAACTTTCAACTTTGGTCAACTTTGGTAGGGTTAATAAATATCAGCTGTACTCAGCAGCATACATAGGTAGGACGGGTCCCTGTCCTATCAGGTTATATAGCATTATTCCCGGCAGGCACAAAGCAGACATTAATTGTGAACTCCCTTACAATCTAATGTAATTTTCTTCATCACCCTCTTAAGGAAACACAAACTGCCTGGGATATAAACAAAAATAGAAGTCCAAAGGTGCCCCAATGTAGGGTGAAGAAAAGTAATATTGTAGTTCACGGATGACAAAAAAAAGATACCTTTTGCCCTAAAGGCTTTATTCATTCAGCCTGAAGGCTTTAGTCATTCGGCCAAAAGGCCGAAACATTGTATCCTTTTTGTCCTCATTGAACTACAATAAATACTATTTTTTTTCATCCTACGTTGTGACACCTGTGGACTTCTATATTTTATTGTTCCTGGTGGGCGGCGGACCCCCCCCCTCCACAATGCTCCCTCGTACATTTACACGTGTGCAGCGCTCCCTGGACTTTGTGCCTGGGATATAAAGATATAGGTGACAAGTACATAATAGGTGTTAATAATTCACATACATCACCTTAATCACTATAGGATGTTATAATGATGAATGCAGTTATAAACATTTTTATAAAGATGTAATATTCTGTACTTGGAAATAGTAGAAAAAGTAAATAAAAGGGTGATGTGGGTGATAATAGGTCTAAACTTTAGTGCAGGCAAGCCACTGTATTGAGGTCACTCTAAACCTCTATATAAAATAAAATAAACACAAAGTCTGAACACTAGTACAGACCACAGGGCGCCAGAACCACTAAAACATATATCAATATGGTATAGAATAATCCCATAAATGCAGAGTATACTGTGGAAATAAAAAGTCCACTTTATTGAAACAATAATAACCAAAAGTGCAACATGCACAATATTGATAAAATAACAGTATTAAAAATAATTATACAATCAAAATGAACCAAGAACCCCTATGGATAGCAGCTAGAATCATACAAGTGAAAATAGTAAAGTGCCAAGTACAAAAGTGCAAGTGCCAGTGGTACAAAAACAGTATAAAGTGCACAAATACTATAAGATGTAATACTTGTAGAAAAAGACTGCTATACCAAAAAATGCAGGGATCTTGGAGGTGCTCAACGCGTTTCGTCGATGTCGACTTCTTCAGGAGCTTGCTAAATTGCTGTTGGTCCCGTTCTTCTTTTAAATCCGCCGGTCTGGCCGCCATTAATTGATCGCGCATGCGCAGACCGTACCGTGCGCACCTTCATACGTGATGACGTGCGGCTGGTCGGAAGGCGCATGCGCTAACCAAGCTGGAACGCAGATAAACTTTATGTGTAATATATGCAGCCGCAAAGTGAGCAAAAATCCACTTGGAGTGCTCATAGCAATTGAGGTCTGAATTTACAGACCTGCCTATATCCAATTTAAGTTATATTACATATATGGCATCCTAAATCAAGATGCAAATTAGGCTGGATACAGTAAAAATGGTTAATAGTGCCAACAAGCAATAAAAATCATATTATATGCAGCTATAACGCTGTGTAAAAATTATATAATTTATTATATGATTTAAAAATATATGCATACATATATGTGTATAAATATAAACAGAAAAATTAAATATAAAAATGAGGAGAAAATGAAAAATGAGGAGAAAATAAAAAATAAAAAAAAATAAAAAAAAGCTTAAAAGCCCATTTGCATCACTACATTCATGTTTTGAATACATACATTTTACTAAGGCTAACATAAAAAAAGCTATCCTTTCAATATCATAATAGATCTTATAGACATTAGTATAAAATGTCAAGAAATCAAAAAATCCAATTTATCTGAGTGTATATAAAAAATTCAAGATAAGAACAAATCCCAGCGATATAAATTTAATCAAAAAACATATTTAAAAGAGAAAGAAGTAAGTAAAATAGCAGATGTACTAAAAAATATATATAATAGATTACAAGATAAAAACCCCTATATGTTGAGAAAAGTGATATCATATATGATCCAAAGAGTAAACATAATTTTTCTGTTGTTTCATTCTTCATTGCTCATAGAAAGGGGATATGAAAAGGGGATATAAAAAGGGGATATAAAAACGACAGATTAGTATATGCATGGATTTGTTCTTATCTTGAATTTTTTTATATACACTCAGATAAATTGGATTTTTTGATTTCTTGACATTTTATACTAATGTCTATAAGATCTATTATGATATTGAAAGGATAGCTTTTTTTTTATGTTAGCCTTAGTAAAATGTATGTATTCAAAACATGAATGTAGTGATGCAAATGGGCTTTTAAGCTTTTTTTCTTATTTTCTCCTCATTTTTCATTTTCTCCTCATTTTTATATTTCATTTTTCTGTTTATATTTATACACATATATGTATACATATATTTTTAAATCATATAATAAATTATATAATTTTTACACAGCGTTATAGCTGCATATAATATGATTTTTATTGCTTGTTGGCCCTATTAACCATTTTTACTGTATCCAGCCTAATTTGCATCTTGATTTAGGATGCCATATATGTAATATAACTTAAATTGGATATAGGCAGGTCTGTAAATTCAGACCGCAATTGCTATGAGCACTCCAAGTGGATTTTTGCTCACTTTGCGGCTGCATATACTACACATAAAGTTTATCTGCGTTCCAGCTTGGTTAGCGCATGCGCCTTCATACCAGCCGCACGTCATCACGTATGAAGGTGCGCACGGTACGGTCTGCGCATGCGCGATCAATTAATGGCGGCCAGACCGGCGGATTTAAAAGAAGAACGGGACCAACAGCAATTTAGCAAGCTCCTGAAGAAGTCGACATCGACGAAACGCGTTGAGCACCTCCAAGATCCCTGCATTTTTTGGTATAGCAGTCTTTTTCTACAAGTATTACATCTTATAGTATTTGTGCACTTTATGCTGTTTTTGTACCACTGGCACTTGCACTTTTGTACTTGGCACTTTACTATTTTCACTTGTATGATTCTAGCTGCTATCCATAGGGGTTCTTGGTTCATTTTGATTGTATAATTATTTTTAATACTGTTATTTTATCAATATTGTGCATGTTGCCCTTTTGGTTATTATTGTTTCAATAAAGTGGACTTTTTATTTCCACAGTATACTCTGCATTTATGGGATTATTCTATACCATATTGATATATGTTTTAGTGGTTGTGGCGCCCTGTGGTCTGTACTAGTGTTCAGACTTTGTGTTTATTTTACTTGGAAATAGTAGGCCTAGCAGTAAACTGGATACGATAAAGGGTAAGGTTGACAGTAAGGCATATTACTAATTGTTCGGTTGGATTGGATTAAAAGAACACACCAAGCACCATAACAACTACAATGTGTTGTACTGGTTATGGTAACATGAGTGCTCAGTAGCCCCCTCAATGTAGGTAGTCAAATCATTTACTAAACCTTTAAAAATGTGATACTTAGATTACTCTATACAGAATTAGTTAATGCTAGAGATTATGTCTATTTCAAGATACACAGTATTTTGAAGATGATGATCGGTTTTTAAGTATTCTCTCTACTTAGAGGGCTTTTTTTTACCCACATATATTTCTATTATATTTAGCTATTTAGTATTTGACCTTATGAGTTTAAAGAATAAAGGTTACGTTTAAGATTATGCACAGATATTTTATGTGTTCTGTATACTTCACCCTTGGGGTTACCTCCCCTTTTTTTTTTACTGGTGATGGGGTTATTATCCTGTATAGGTGGCTCTTCACTTTATTTCTGTTAAGTATTACTACTATACTATTATTATACTATTATCTTAAAGGCATAGTCTCTTCTGTGAAAAACTTGTGTGTGTGTGTGTATGTATAAATATGTATAATAGTATAGTAACATATTATTCTGTTTTGTATTTGACTTTTCTTGTTTTTCTCAACAGAAACGGACAATAGATTACGTAAGTTACTCAGAATTGTAACAATTCTGTTTTTGTTTTGTTTTTGCAATCTTTATGAAAGTAAATAAAGACAATACACATTCAAGAAAAATGCAATGATCCATTGTTAGAGACCATGTTAGAGAAATAAACAGTCAGTGGACACCTGTACTAATATGTAAATAACAGAAATGTGAAAAATACAGTATATATATATATATATAATGGAAAATTTATTCATACTTACCGTAATTCTCTTTTCCTGGTCATAGGCCATGGCAGCACAACATTGGGTAGCTCCTCCCTATCCACATTGGACAGGAAAAATAATTAAGCCGTATAAGTACCACCTCCTACCCCTCCTTCCCCAGTCATGTTTTACAGCAATAGCCCCGGGTGGGACCTTTGTGTTGCCATGGCCTATGACCAGGAAAAGAAAATTACGGTAAGTATGAACACATTTTCCATTTTCCTGGCCATATCCATGGCAGCACAACATTGGGTAATATCCAAGCAATAAACCAGGGAGGGAAGAAGACACAGACCTGAAAATTTGAATGCAAAGTGTATTTAACACCATTAACAAGTGATAAACAAAGAAATCATGTATCGGATACAGACAGAACTGATTTAGCAAATTGATCTGATAGACCTGCTCTGACATCAATTTGATAACTTCTAATGAAGGTATTGGTGGAAGACCATGTGGCCGCCTTACAAATGAGTTCAGGAGAGACATTAGCCGTGGCTGCCCAGGAAGATGAGAGGGCCCTAGTGGAATGGGCTTTAAGACCCACAGGGACCGGATATCCAGAAGATTGATAAGCCAGTATAATGGCTGCCACTATCCACCTGCTAATGGTAGATTTAGGG